CTCATATGTTCTTAAACATCACCACTAAAGGAAACACCACACCCACTAAATGAAACTCCTCACCCACAGGTGTACCATACTCCCACTTTGTGACCCAGTGTGTGAAGAGCTGATGTGCACATTTCATGATGTCTGGGGTATGTGAAGCTGCTGTGGCAGTGTGTAATTTTAATACGATGTTACAAAGTCTTTGAGACCATTCTGAAGACGAACAGGAGAGACTGTGCAAATAAAGCTGTCCTCAGTTTTTAACATGTTTTGTGCCTTCTCATTTTATGTGCTTGAAAGAATTCTGTGGTGAGCTGGCAACTAGCAGATAAAGTTATTGACAACAAAGCCTTCGGCTCAAAATTAAAGCTAATTCTGTAGTTGTAAAAAAAAAGAAAAAAAGAAAAAATGATAACATCATTAAATTCGTCTCCAGTCCTCAAAACACATCATAGTTATTTAGAGACAAGTGATCTGGGGACTCAGAAATGCAAGTGATTATGGCATTTCACCTCTTGGGGTCTATTTTGCAGTGAGATACAAATAAACTGAGTTTGGCAGTCAGAAATACTCTCTGACAAAATATTCTCCTACATCCTCAAGCTGATTAAAGGAATGAGCTGGAAGAGAGAGGTCAGTGGGTAGGCACATAGATAAGCAAGAGATAAGATGAGAGGAGACAGTGCTCGAGTCTATGTAGTCAATATCCTGGAGCTCATAAAAGTTTGTTACTGCACACAGCTTTCTCTGGCTTTTCACATCAGATCTTAGCAGCCGCTGCTTATCTGTGCCCACTTGTTAGATTAGGTCCCATTGCAGGTAGCATGCAGAATCTTGCATCTCAATCTCCATGGAGACCCAGTCAGATTCCCTACTGCTCTGAGAAGGCAGAGATTGGCAAGGAAAGACTTCTCCACCCAGATCTTTCCACCTTTCTGACAGCTGTCAGAGAGCAATGATGAAGTTTCTGGTGTTGAAAAGGGACAAATTCCGTGTGCTGTCTGGACAACGCACAGGTTTTATCCCTGGTCAGCAACTGTATTAGACTTGCCAAGATACACCCTAAACAAAGTGGTCCTCAGAAAAGGAGGGGAAGAGGCAAATGGTATATTTAGTTACAGGCCTTGACCCTCTCATATGGGGGGATAGAAGCAGCACAGCTATGCTAATATAACCAGTTGCTCCTGACAATAGATTGCAACAGTGACTGCATGTCTACTCCAATTAACCGATAATGAGAGCTGGCTGACAGCACAGGAGGGACTAAATTCTTCTCTAACATCGTTAAACGTGGAATAGATGACGAGTCACCGAGCACTGAGTTCACATTTGGCCCCATGCCTGCTCCTGCCATTCAAACCATTCCCGGCAGCAGCGGAGTGGCACGGTGTGGGTCCACTGGTGACAGTCATTACCCAGGTAGGACATTTCTCCTGTGTGAATGCACTATATGTCCCTCTCTGGCTTCCTACAGCATCAGTTGAGATGGTATGAAAAGGGAAGAGGGCACACAGCCAAAGGCTGTGCTTTAGCAATTTGCCAGTTGCTAGGGCTCACTCTAGCTGTGCACTACAAAGGCACTCTGGTTTGGTGAAGTTTCCAGCCATTAGCTCGTCTCTTCAGCGCTGCATACAGGGTAAGCACCGTCACCAAGCTAAATGGGCTAAATGGTGCCTAGATCCCTTCCTTCCCTTGTTCCCTTGCTCCATGTATGGGAAGAAAGAACAATTCTTCCCACAAGGAAATCGCGACACGGCGAATAGGAGGCTTAACAGGGGCAAAATGTCATGTCCAGCATGGTGAAGGAAGCTTAGGCCGAGGTGGAGTGGTGTGCAAAGCATCTGAACATGCCACTTCTATACTCCCTAAAATGGGCAGGGAAAGTTGAGCGCAGACAACGTGTGGAATAAGGAGAGGCAGGTTCTGAAAGGGGTCCCTTCCACAGAATACACTGGTGCCAAATGAAGATATTTAACATCCAGAAGCAAGAAGACATAATCCCCCTGAAATAATCCCCCATGGACCTACCAAACAAACTCTACCTAATCTCTCTCTCTTTCCATTGCCCTGATTGTCCCCAGCCACTCTTTTCCAGAAAACCACACAGGGACTGGCAGCAAACACCCCTGGCAGGACACAAGGAGAACAATGCAACATAGCCAATATGCTGGCTCTACTGCTGCTTCCCCTCTTGGTTTAAATCAATAGTTTATGACATCTACAAGGGGAAACTGTAAATTTAATTTTGTCCCCTGCAGTGCGAATCATATCTTGTTTGCTGGTAACATAATGAATGTGTTTGCCCTCTAGACCCCCTGCCCAGTAGACCAATTTAAGGATAAAGGGAGAGAAAATAGCCAAGTACAATTAGGGAGGTCGATTAATGCTGGATTAACCAATAGCTCAGCTAAAGATAGCTTTACAACACATATACATAAGGGGCAAGGGAGAGAGGGAGATAGAAGCCCACAGAAGGAATAGAGAACCATATCATTTTTCTTAGGAATAAAAAACTTGCAGGTGACTTGAAGGCACACACTGCTTCCTAACAGCCTGAAGCCACAAAACTGCAGATGCTTTGCCCTACTTGGTGCTCATAATGTGTGATCTAGAATATAACCCAAACTGACCCAAGGACACAGGTTAAACCTTTCTGAAACTCATAGACTTAACTGCTCTGCAAAAGCTACTTGAGGTTGTCACCATAGTAGTTCAAGTGCGCATGAGCCTGGAATTGCTCAGAAACCTTGCTGGAAATTCAAACGGCAACGGAACAGTGAGGGTTGAGAAAGAGACAGCACTCCAGAGCTAAGGGAGAGGAGAGCAACAGAGATGACCCAGCAGATGGAAAGCAGGGAGAAGGTTTCTCACATCAGGGTGCTCTCTGCAAACCAGTTGGGGCAGTGGAGGAAGAAACAGCTCTGATTGTGTGTACCCTGCTGCACAACAGAAAGTAAGACTTGATACATTCTTGTGAACAAACAGACCTTGCCAGAGAAACCTGACTTCATTGCCAATTTCTTTTTCCAGCTGGAATAACCAACAAAACTCCAAATTAGTTTGGCTAGGTAGATAGGGAAAAAGAAATAATAATATTTTTGGCCAAAATCTAGAGCCAGACTTTGCAGCTAGGTCTTAGCTTTACAAAGAGACGAAGCATGAAACCCCCACAAAATCCCAAGGAAACCAGAAAAAGGGCAAACCCATTAACCCGCAAACAGGAGATCAAATGCCAAGGGATTTGGATCTGTAAAGGCATGGTCTAGAGCTTTCAGTTCATGTCTCTCTACTTTGTGGTTACAAAAGAGTTGCTAATACAGCATGTCTAGCAATACTTCAGTGCTTCTGCTCTTTGAATTAAAACGAAGCAGTGCAAAACCATATGAAAATTAAAAGAAAAATAAACTCTCCTCTCTCAGAGAAGGCTTAGGTGAGGGGCTAAGGATAACCTTGGTGTTTCTGAATTGATCTGCCCCTCTCTACTTTAAAACAGTGTATTTTCCTGCTTTAGCTGCCTCTTTAAAACACTATCTTACATTCAGCTTCAGAGACAGCTCCCTATAGACAAGCATTTTTAGATGGATACAGTGTGATCTTTACCAGTTGCTGCAAATTGGCTCTGAGGGCACCTTTATGTGTCAGTTCTGCCTATTTTCTCTACAAACAGAGAGACAGGGATGGAGAGGATGAGGGGAAAGGGCTTTACAAATAGAACAAACAATAGGAGAGCAAAAAACAAAGTCATAGCAGAGTCAGACATTCTGACCTGAAACCAGGGTTCCTCATCCCAGCACCGTAACAATCCCCCTGACATCAATTGCAGAAACCGACCAGACACACATGCGGGGAGCTGCATTCATACACAAATGTGGAGTTTGCACTGCTTGGGAGGGACCAGTTTGGGACACTCCCCTCAGATCATAAGTGACAGCCAACAAGATGTGGGGAGGCAGCATGTAGCTGAGCATGCGAGAAACACGGGCATCACTCAGGTTTAGCTGCATCTAAACCAGCCATGGGCAAAGGATCTCAAATTCAACCCCTTGCCCATTCAGTTCATCGTGGTAATCTCAAATTCACCAGACTTTTAAGACTTTTGATAAAATGGGGCAGAACGATACAAAACCACATCAATATTTGGACCCCATAACAACACAATATTCTGGGCACAGGTATCTTAATCTGTTCTACTCTACTGTTTGAGGGAAAGACTGAATGAAACAAGGTTATGACCAGAGAGAGCAGAGATATAAAAACCTTATACGCATGTAGAGTTCATAATGGTAAAACACAGCTCACCACTACAGAGATACTGTTTGGTTTCAGTCCACTGAAAATACTGGGCAACCTACTAGACAGCAGATGCAGTCACTGTCCCTGGGCCTGGAGCAAACATTACTGTCCAATATGCTGCTACAGTAAAGCTTGGATGAATGATACAGCTGCAATCTGTGCAGGGGTATTGCTGGGTTCACAAAGCAGCCTAGGCTGGAAAAGACCTCCAAGATCATGGAGTCCAACCATTAACCTAACACTGCCAAACCCCCACCAAGCCATGTTCCCAAATGCCCCATCTACATGTCTTTTAAATACCTCCAGGGATGGTGAATCCACCACTTCCTTGGACAGCTATTCCAATGCTTGGAAACCTTTCTGGTGAATTTTTTTTTTTCTAATATACTTTTTAAACTTCCTCTGGCAGAACTTGAGACCACTTCGTCTTGGCCTGTTATGTGGACGAAGAGGCCAACCCCCACCTGGCTACACCCCCCTTTCAGGCAGTTGTAGAGAGTGATAAGGTCACACCTGAGCCTCTTCTTCTCCAGGCTAAACCACTCCAACTCTCTCAGCCTGTCCTCATCGGACTTGTGTTCCAGACCCTTCACCAGCTTTACTGACCTTCCCTGGGCACATTCCATCACCTCAATGTGTGTCTTGTAGAATGTGTAGTGATGTCAGGGACAACAACGACAACAACCAACAACAGCAACAACAAAGTGAAGGCCCAAGATTCTGTGTTCCATAAGAATGCAGGGTCAGGGTGTCTGTCAGAGCTATGGTGGTCTGTGTGATGATGTTTAACAGTGAGATGCCACTGCTGCCTGGGTTGGTGTTTGCATCTTTCCTTGTCTACACAAGGCAACCAGTGACTGCATTTACAGCACCAGTGCCACGCGGTCAACACTGCCTGAAGTGGCAGCTTCTGCTCTGTCCCTGAACATACAGGTACAGTTTAAGGACAGTAGTGTGGAAAGGATTTAGGGAGAGTAAGACTTTTCTCCTATATTACTAAATGGAAAAAGCAAAACATTTCTTTCATCTGCTGGCCTCCATCTGTCTTTCCAGCTCCTGTCCCTCACACACACACCTTCCTCTGTCTTTACACTGCAATTATGTTTTGTAGAGTTTTGTCCTTCCAGGACAATGTTTCCTGCCCATTTTGAGAGCCTAACATACTGATTAAACACTTCTTGGTCTTCACAGTCTCATACTTTTTAGTACTGACAGTTTAATTTCCAGGCTCCAAGTTTTTCTGATTCAAAAAATGCCAGATTGTGCATTGTCATGGTTAAAATCAAATTGTTCCCATTTATTTTCCAGAGCTGGACAGCTGTCTGAAGACTTTTTTTTAGACCCAAAAGATTATTTCTTAGTATCTGAGACTGCAGTTTGTAACTACAATTGGCATCAAGTGTAGATTCTCCACAATTAGCCATTTAAAAAAAAAAAAAAATTAAAAAAAAAATATATATTTTTTATTTTTTTCTGCTAAGAAGCATTCAAAATTACTTCCAAATGTATCCGTCTTATCTATGATAAACAGCACGTAATTTTCAACAAAAGAACCAATGGTGATTTAGGTTGAGAACCAAAAGCACCAAAGAGAAGACACATAAAAGCAAGAGACCCATTACTCTGACATCATCAAGCTGAGTTTGAATAGCTGTGGTTCATGTTCTCATGACACTTGTTAGTTGTGAGCATTTGTCAACTTGCTGGGTGTCACATGAAAATTTGTTAACTGCTAAGGCTGTTTCTTACCAGACGGCAAGCTATTTATTATTCACAGGACTGGCCAAAATAATTAAAGTAAATTAAATCCAGTGCATGATAAATTTTGAAGTTCTGTAATCTGTTCCCATGTTTTATTACAGCCTTTTAATTTTTTCTTTTTTTTCTTTTTTTTCTTCAAGAAAGAGGCACTTCTGAGCAGATAACAGTCTTGTCATTAAGTTGTTTGGTACATGCAAGATATGGGTACAAGTCTCTGCCTGATTGCTATAAAAATTCTTGGCTGGAGTTTTCTACATCTCACACAAGATTCCTACTCATTAACTTGCTGGCCATTTCAACCCTGTCTATGTCTCATCTTTTCACTAGAAATTTAAATGTGAGGCCTGAAAAACTGAAGATCACTGCATATAAATCCCACATGTTTCTATAAAATGTTTCCATTTTGACATGCCAGTATTTCAACAGGAAAAAAATATCCCAACAAATTAACTGAAAAAAAAATTTTAAATTGACCATTATTTTAGTTACTCAGTTGAGAAAGACAACAATTAGCATGATATTCTGCTAACCAGTAAAAGAGTTCAAATACTAAGCAAGTAATGATTCACTGAAGCAAACAGGTTTTAAAGAACAGCTGGACGCCTAAAAATGACTCCTTTTTAGTGAGCACTTACTAAGCCCTAAAGAAATGGAAGAAAATCTGAAGCTGCTTACAAACAAATGGCTTATGACACAGTGACAATGCTTTAACACTCCTCTGCTTTTCTCATATCCTTATTCTTCCCACCACCACCTCCGAGTGAGAACTTCCCCTGTATCGGGTGCCGCACGCTGTAAAAACAGCAGAACCTGGTCCTGACAAGTCAGATTTGTAACTAATATTTCAGGCTTCTCTAACACTGGGTGAGAGGGTCAGCAGTAGCTTGTAGGGACACAGTGACGCTACTGAATCAATCCTCACGTTACCCTGACTCCAGCCATCAGGTCTCACATCACTCCTGTTGGAGTCTGGCACAACAAATGCCCCCGGTCTTTGAAGAGATAGAGACAAAGTGGTGCACAGTAATATGAAGCTGCCAGCCAGCCTGTGGGCATGGGCAAAGGGATTTTGTCATGCTGCTGAGAAAAGACTATTACCACAGGCCCTGCTTGCAAAGCTGGGAGGTCTCAGAGCATGCACTAAAAGATCACACCTTATACCATAACCCACTCACCCCAAGCCACACTACTCTGCCCATTAAATGCCAATTGTACAAAGTAAAACTGAACAGTGGATAATTAATGCTTGTGAAACACATTGGAAAGACATGAAATGTCCTTGCTGCTCCAGGGTGCCAAAGCAAAGAGGCTGTGCTCAGTCCCCTACTGCCTGCAAGCACCAGGCTTCACTATTTGCTGCTTCATCCCAGCTGAAGGGACAGAGGTCACTTGTTATCTATGGCTAGCAAAGCTTGATTCTTAATCAGAGGAAAGACAAGGTTATCCCCAGAGCACCAGGAGAAGGCCTGAGTGAAACACCTAATTCTCTGTGGCAACTGTGTAGAAAGTCAGGGTCTGGTATAAATCCTTCCTTGGCTAAGCATGCCTCAGATGTCTGGGCAAATGGACATCTGAGCAAGACCCCAGCTCATGCAGGATGCTTGTAAGAACATGGAAATTAATGCAGATATCCCAGGCCTCAGGCTACCAGGATAATCACCACCCTTGACCCTTAAGGCAGCAAGTATACAAATTCTGGTTCTCCAGATAAAAATTACAGTGGTCTAAATCCTGGATGGCTGAGACTCCAGTGATTGTGTGAGACCTACTGACTTGGAGCAAACAGCCTCTGAGGATGAGCCAGTTCCTAGATGGATAAGTGCCCATCCTGGAGACCCAGCAGTCTGCTAGACGGTGGTTGCAGTGGGGAAATCAGTAGGCAGACAGGCTGTAGAGTCTTGACCCTGTTCTCATGTCGAAGCAGAATAGTTTAGGTTGAGAGTAGCATAGGGAAGATGCTTTCTGGCTGCTGAGGAAAATGAAATGAGCTCCATCTTTGGCACTGCTGATCTATTTCTGGTCAGAGTGAAATACATTTAAATGTGTTGTGGAGATTGCTGAGCAAGCCACTTGGAGTTATATGTGCCACTGCTGCCTCAGACTGCTGCTTCATCTCCTATTCATGCAGAGGGTTGAGTAACAAATGATACATGCTCAGGAGCCGACCTCCAACAGCAGGGGAAATGAGAAGGACCACAATCCTCAGTGCAGAAGCTGCAGGAAGACAACAGTTCATTGTGCTTCCACAGCCAGAAGAATTCATGAGGAGAATCTCATTCTTATGTTTGCCTGTGGTTCCTCCTTGAGTGGGTGATTTACAGTGCTCTGTCAGCACATCTGTCTTACTTTTTATTCTTCTGTTGCTTTCCTGGTGTTTCACTGCTTCTTCTCCTGCATTGGAGGCTATTAAGCATCACCTGCTCTGGTCAACAAATGAGCCAGCAGCACATCTCTGCACTTTCATAGCTAGTGACTGAATTCCAAAGATTTGATGGGCCAGTTTTGTGAAAAGAAAAACAGTGTGGGAGAGGGAGAAGACTGCACTTAGGTCCCCAAGGAGAACAAAATGCTGTTTAAGGTGATAATCCTGGGGTAGCATGCACATCAGATGTGTTCCACTTGCTGTGGGTTCATCTCAAGTGGTGTCAAACACAAGAACAACTGGTGTCCTTTTAGAACCTTCCTCCTTGTGTCCTGTGGTCCCAGCCAGCTGGATGATCATCCCCACTGCGGGAATAAGCCAGGATGGGAGCTGGCTGTGTTTAATCTCTGAGACTCCAAATCTAAGCCCTTGCCCAGAATCTCCAGTATTGGAGTGGACCAGCAAATTTGACATGTTAACAAAAGCTCTGCCTGGGCATCAGACCTCTCCTGTTTCCCACACCATATTCTCTGCAAATGCCTCACAGCTCTGTGTGCCTCCTCAGGGGACTTTTCAGAAAGGTGACAAAAAGGAGATCAGAACCACCTCCCTCTGCAACTGCTGCCATGCAGAACCTTGTAGGAATAACTCATATTAATAGCTGCAGGTTAATATTTGTCATATCCTCTTTAATTTGCCTGTGATCACTGCAAAGGCAAATATAGAAGCAAATCCCCAGGGATGGCCATCTTGTGTGCACAGAAATAAATACCAGGGAAGGGGAGAGGACAGTGCTCACGACTCTGTGTGGCAGAGCACTTGCAAAGCCAGGGCAGGTGGGGCATGGGGGAATGACAGCAATATGAGCATGCTGAGTGTGTGCAGCAGGGTGTGCTCACAACTGGGAAGATGCACATCCAGAGGATCAGTAAATTCAGGTAAGGGCATTCCCATTCCCATGGCTGGCAGCAGGAATGAGAATAGGTGAGGGTAATGTGGAGGGTGGTGGTTGTGTGGGACAAGTTGCACAGAGTGAGACAGACCAAGTGTTTGTGGTGGTGTGAGAGGGGAAACCATGAGCATGCAGAAGAATTTATTTCTGAACCTTTCCCTATAAAATGATGCAGAGAAGCACAGGTTAACCTGTTCACTTGGAGCCTTAAGTACTGAAAATGCCCTTTCCCTTGAATATTTCCAGCACATATAATCTGATTCTTTAGCCTGTGTGGGGTGGAAGAGAAAAAAGGATGGAGAGTCACAGAGATCCAAAATGTGCAAATTCTGGGAGCAGTATAGAACACCTGAACGAAACTCTTATTTGCAGAGTGGTACCCAGAATGCTTTCTGCCACTTTGCTCTTAAATGCTACACTTCTAGAGGTCACCCTAACCTAATTAAGTCTCTGTATCTGGTTAAAGTAACAGCTGCACAGTACACAGGAGTTCAGGGGCAGCAGAAACCAAGAGACATGTTCTACATTTGCTTCTCTAGTCATGGCTGAGCTGCCCATGGGGAGACTCAGTTTGGACAATTGCTAGGAAAACAGATTTGTGTTTTGGTACAGCTGTGCAGCCAGTGTGGCTGGGAACACGATGTTTGCTGTTAACTCACAGCATGCCAGATGGAACTGTAGGCCTGCTGGCTGCAAAGAGCAGCACATGGTAGAGAGCCACAGACAGCCTCACTGCATCACTCAGTTCTGGCCCTTCATGAGGTGATCTTGAACGCATTGTCTTTGAGTTCCACAGCCTTGGAGCCCCTTCCATGTCAACACACTCACTGAGAAAAGAGGTTCTGACAAGAGGAATTACATTGTCCTGCAAAGAGGAGGACTGAGAGCACACAACCAGAGTTTACTGTAAAGCATTGTGTGGCATGCTTAGCATGTGTAGGATACTCACAGAGCCTTTTGCACAAAGGTCCCATCAGTGAGTCCCGCATGTCTTACTTACTCAGGTTAGTTCAGGGAAGATCTTGAATGTCTTTTGTTTCATCTGTCGCTGCCTTCTGCCCAGGACAAACACATAACTACCAGTACTATAACACAGGGGTTTAGGTTAGGAGGAAGCTTTAGAAACTCAGCAACACTGCAGAGTAATGCTGAGAAAACAATGCTGTGACCACAGCCAGAAGAGACTTTGCATTAGGATGTAGCAACATTTTCCTGTCTGAAACATACAGATGATGCACTGAACCATACTGGAGAAAGCAAAGGAAAGGAATGGACGATTTCAAGTAATCAACTTCCTTGCAGCAGTTGCCTTCTCCTTATTTATAGCTACTCAGTGATTCAGTCAGGCTGGAACTGTGAGTGCAAACACATTTTCTTTGCTCCTGGCTCTCCTTGGACTTCATTTGCACAGCAAAGCATCACCCAGTGCCAGAGATTTATGATACGTTCAAAGCCCAAACAAGGCTGGATCTGAACAGCCACATTTACTCCAAATTTCATGGTGGGAAACGTGCCTCTAGTGGGCTCCCAAGTAGCTCGTGTCAGGTTCACTGATCCTCACTGCAGCTGTGCAAGAGGAAGGGCAACTCAGTCTGCTCCAAGGCAGCAGAGACTCAACAAACTTGAGCTCAGCTTCAAACCTAGGAAAAGCTTCTGGATGGACCTAACCTTTTGTCAGCAAAACTTCTGGGCCTGGAGACTTACAAACTGACATAGACTCAGATCCAGTGCCAAATTCCATAAATCAGCTCTTCATGCTTCATGTTGCAAGTTTTATGCTTATAAGAGTGGGTTGTACCAAAAAAATCACAGTGGCCATGTGTCTCCTCCTGAAAGCTTGTGAAATACTCTCTGGGACTCAACACTTTACAGCTGAGGTTTCTCTTCATCAGGATGGCCCTAATCTTCATTGTTTCTATGTGGGAGCACCCTCTAAGCTTCAATGAGGACTGTGAAGTTGTTGTCCTGGGGCTTGTATAAAATCCCAGCAAAAACATATTTCCTGTCCAGAATTAGACTTAGTGCTACCTGGCTCTAAGCTCACAATCATTCACAGCTCCCTATACTACAGACACAAGCCTCTCATTCTTCAACCTCTCCCCACACCTATCACAGCCCACAAGTGATAAAACAATTTATAGGATGAGGAGTCTGTCGTCTGTCCATTGCTTTTTTTCAAAGCTGGAAAAAAAAGTAATGATCTTGTTCTGGAAGAAAATCAAAGGCTGCCAACAACAGCATGATATGTCAGCTCTTTTAATTTCATTTATTTATTTATTTTACCCAGTTGCTTTAATCCTTGGAGTTTAAAGGCAAAGAATGAATGCAACGTGCTGGAAAATGAAGAGCATGTGACAGTATCAAAGAGCAAAACCAAAGGAAAGGGGGTGTGTGTGTTGGGAAGCCTTGTTAGGAGACACATTAAGGCAATCCAGCTGATAGATGAAGCCTTTTATAAGTGAAGAGTAAAGTCTTCATGTCACTCTTTATCCTTCTTTTTTTTTGTTTTAACCATTGTCTCTCTTTCGCCTCCCCTTGCATTCGTATCCTGCCTCTCCTCTTATGGTCTCCTGTCATAGGTCCCACTTTATATTTGAACGGTAGGGCTGCTGTGGCCACAAAATTATAAAGTCTCCCTCTGCTGAGAATAGCAGAATCTGTGCCTCAGCAGGCCATGGTGGTACCTGCCACTGTAAGACCCTTCAAAGAGACTAAAATGTACTTTATTCCTGTCAGGCTGGGATGCTGGTTCCTCTCGGTGTTGTGGAGCTATAAACAAGGCATGGCAATCAATCACAGGCAGTGGGAGCCTGGTCTCCAGGGGATTTTGGCACAGAGGTGGGATACATGCATCACAGAAAAGCTGCTGTGCTTTGTATGTAGAAGTCGCAGTAGGGAGGTAGGTAGAGGGAAAGCAACCCAGAAATGCCTTTTATCCTTGATAGAAGAGCAGAAAGACAAGGAAACAGAATCACCACATTCTTCTTTTTCAGTTATAGTTTTGACATCCCCGGAAAAGAACTCCAGTGGAAAAATTGCTGTTGGGTACTCTTTATGATGAGATTCAGCAGGAGTGATTCAGTTCTCATTGTCTCACACACACACACATGCACATCTTATTATCTGTGATCTTTCTACATAGTGGATGTAAATTCCAGGCCTACCTCCTTTGAAGCTTCCTGAGCTTGGTCAAGAAGGAGAGTTTTACACAGACCCTGCTTCCCCAACAGCCTTCATGTCTCTCCCACGGCTCTCTCTCAGCAGAGGTTACACAGCTTCATACACCAGCACAAACCTCTGGCTCTGGTAGTATCCAAACCAGGTGTCATACCCACCAGAGACCAAGCCATGACATCTCACTACTGGCAAGCAGAGCTGGAGGGGAATTATCTGCTCTCCCCCTTCCAGAGACTGGCCCTTCAAAATCACAAGACAGAGTCTAAATGATACTCTCTTCCAGCCTGAGACATCCTTGATCCCCATCCCCAGAAACATTTATCACAGTTTAACCCCAGCCATGAGCTAAGCCCCAGGCAGTTGTTTGTTCACTGCCCCACCAGTGGGATCAGGGAGAGAATTGGAAGGGTAAAAGCTGGAAAATTCATGAGCTGAGATAAAAACAGTTTAACCGGGAAAGCAAGAGCTGTGCACACAAGCCAGGCAAAGCAAAGAAGTAAATCACCATTCCCATGGGCTGGCAGGTGTTCAGCCATCCCCAGGAGAGCAGGGCTCCATCATGTGTAACAGTTACTTGGGAAGACAAACACAATCACTCCAAATGTCCTTCCCTTCCTCCTTCATCTTTATACACTGAACATGATGTCATAAGGAATGGAATATCCTTCTGGTCAGTTTGGGTCACCTGTCCTGACTGTCTCCTTCCAGGTTCCCAGGAACATCTGACTCCTGCCAGCATTGAAGTACAAGAATCAGCAAAGGCCTTAGCTCTGTGTAAGCTCTGCTCAGCAGTAAGGAAAATATCTCTATGTGATCAACCCTGTGTTCAGCACAAATCCAAAGCACAGCTCCTCACCAGGCACTGGGAATACAACGTAAGTGTACTCCAGTCAAAACCAGTGAAATGTCCCTCTGAGGTGCCAAGGCCACAGACCTATGGTCTGCAGAGTGACTGAGTGGGGATGTGATGTGTGGCTGGCAGTGGCTGTGATGAGCATGCTGTGACAAGACCCATGGGCAACCTCAGCTCTTCCCTATCCAGAGGAGCTCCGGTGGTGGTGACTGGCAAAGGATAAAGTGGTTAGCACACACAAGACAGGCACTTTAAGCTCTGTCAACAGCTGGCCTCTGGGTGAAACATTTTAAACTACACCTCTGTCTCTCTGATGGCGTGGGATGTGTGACTCTGGGAGCACAGGAGGGAATGACAGGTGGATTAGCAGATTCTGTGCTGAGGCCACTGCACTCTGACCAGTCTCTCTGGTTTTGTAGTTCCTGGAGTGTGTTGCTTAGGATCTGTATGCAAGGTGTCACAGTCCCAAAGTAGATTAAGTAGACTTCAAAGAGACTGCTAATTTCATACAACCATAATAAAAATAGTCAGTCTCGCAGAGGGGCAGCAGGCTTTATATTATTAATTCTTGCAAGATGCAGGTGATCTGAGATCTTTGCAAGAAAGGCAGTGTAAGAAAGGCCCAAAAAACTAATTTCTCCAAGGTGCAATTTGCTTTTTTCCCCAGTCCTAAAGGAACAAGAAAAAAGAAAGAGGAGAGACCCAAAGACAAATGCCACAGTGCAGGCAGAAGGCAGGCTGGATTTCAGATGACAGAAAGGGCCAGGGGAAGCAGAACAGAGGAGGCACTTGTTCCCCTAAGACTGGTGTGAAATTCAGCATGCACCAGAGTCATTCAAATGCATGCCAGCAGGATCTGTGCACAGGTCCTGGAGCACAGGTCACTCCAAGGTGCAGAGGGACACACAGGACAGACACCATTTAAGTCAGATGTTTTTTATCTTTTCAATACCAAAAAATAAGGAGACAATTTTCAAAATGCAGTGACTGTCAAGCAGGAGTCTGGAACAGCTAAATGTGATACTTAATTAAACATCTGTACTTCCATGGAATGCAGGATTTGCCTCCTTTCTCCTTTTTAGTACAGCAAGCCCAGAGATAAAACCTTCAAGTTATGAGCAACTATACCCTGCTCACAAAAGTGATGGAGTGCTGTGCTCCAGAGAACTTAACCAGGCCCCAGAAAATATGGAGTTGACACCTAGGAGGTTTTCTTATTATCATTGCTGCTGTTGTTATTACGATTATTATTACTATTTTTCCTGACACTAAAACTCTTCCCGTCATGTTCCCAGAGGGAGACAAACAGTGTGTACCTGCATGTTAATGGGAATCAATGGGGCCACTGCACTTTCCTGATGCACGGGGTCCACATGCTGGAGGAGCTGCTGAAAGCAGGCATACTGTAGTGAATGCTGGGAAAGACTGCAGGGCTCATGGATTTTGCACAGGAGAGAAACACAAATACAGGCTGTGGGGATGCATGATCAGAGCTCAGCTCTGCTACTGACTTGAGCAGCTTGGTCAGGTTACTTAGGGTCCTGTGCTCTGGCTGCTTCCTTGCAAAAGAGTTCAGGAGTAATAGGATGATGACCCGTGCTATTCCAGGGACATGGTAAGAACAAGGGCCTAAACGTTTCTGGCGTGGTGATAAAATGGATCAGAGAGTGATATAAATACAACATACAAGGTGAGAAATGGCCTAGAGTGGAGATTTCCTACACTGCCTGATTAGATGAAGCTGCAGAGATTAGGTGCAAAAATCAAAGGTGAAGAACCAAAATCTGAAGTCTTTCAGTTTGAATCATCATTTACTGTGGCCAAATGAAAAAGCCACCAAAAGAGGATGCAAGAAGTTCTCATTTGTAAGATTTCCTCATCTATATTTTACTGCCTTAATGTGAATAAATAACTGTGTGGAATGGGACACTGAAGTGAAGAAACATGTCAGGCCTAGGGCAGGTTGTAAGAGAGTCAAAACTCAGGCTGTGAATCTGAAGTGTTAGTGGTTCAAAATGTGATTGAATATTACTTTAAACTTGGGGTAAAAAAAAAAAAAAAAGGCATTGATGACTTCCCCATTGATGTGAACAGCAATCAAAGATCCATTTGCTTCCCAGGGGGCCATGGAGACAAAGCCTGACATAGCAGGAAAGAGAAAAGCTCTTGTACAGGTTAAACAAATAATCTGTATAGCTTTGTGTTTTGCCTTCCACAGTGACCAAAATCTCGTGCCAAGGGATGCCTAGAAGTAAAGAAGCATAGATGATGCTTTCCTTGCATATTCACCCACAGTGCTTCTCTCATGTTTCTAGTACCATCTTCTTTACTGAAGATGTCTCTTGTAGCTTACCTGACTTCCCTTTTCCAAAACACAGGACAGCAAAACACCTTAGACAAGAAAAAATACCTTAGACAAGAAATGCCTCTGTACATACATCTTATCTTCACCCAGAACTCATGCACCTGTGAATTCTCTGAAAGCTCTGCCATACTAAAAAGGCAGAGGATAAACTTGGTAGGCTTTGTTTCCCTCCTCCCCTCAGCTGCTTCATTTCCTGTCACTTTGAAAGCTGTGGCACCCATAAGCTATAGGTTCAGTTGTGGGACTTGAGGCATGGGGTGAAGGAGAAAACACCGTCTCTCCTTCTGGGCTGCAGCACATCCTGATCATTCTCTGCTCTCTGTAGGTCAGAGGGGTCAATGAATCTTGCCAGGACAATAGTGGTATTGGGAGCATTGCCTGATAGTGCCTTCTCCTACGGCTCTTTGCTGGAGTGCACACTTTGCCCACATTCACCTCTCATCCTACCTACTGACTTCAACTGTTGTGAAAAGAGACCTCTCTCCCTCTTCCTGAAGACCTGTTTCACTGCCAGGACTTGAGCCAATCTCATTCTCAGGGCACCTTAGCGTATCTTCTTTTGGTAATGACACCTCACACCTTAAAATTACACAGCCTGGAACCAGTCCCTCTCCAAAAAAAACCCTCATGTCCTTCATGGTGTTCACCCTTTGAATGCTTCCAGTCCAGTGAAAAGCACAGCATGCAGATGTCTGCCAGGCATAAAGAAAATGGAAGACGCTTTTCAGGATAAGTAAACCACTCTATTTTTTATTTTTTTATTATTTTTTTATATATATATATTAATAAGGGAGGGGGAATACCCTAGTGAATCAGCAGAAAAAACAAGACTTCCAGGACGACAACTGCAGTCATGTTCTTCCTAGCATGCTTGTCTAAGCTTTGCTGATGTTAGTCCAAAACACAAAGAAGGCACAATCCTCAGTGGTGCTGAGCAGACCCCAAAGAACACAAAAGGTACTCGGCCCTTAATAGAAATGGCTCATAATGAATGAGCCTCCCAAGTACATAAGCTGCTCTGAGGGGAGGCAAAGCCATTTTTTTGCTGAGTTTGAAACTAAGAGCTCTGTTTGGCAGCTGCCATTCAAGTCACGATCAGATCTGGCCTTTCATGAAAATGCAAGCTCATTAAAACATCCGGAGAAAGGGAGGGAAATGTGGTGCAACCCTCAGCTAGAGGGATAAAAAGATCAACTGCAGTCAAAACCAGGGCTTGGTAGTTATAGGCAAGCAAAGCAAAGGGATGAAGGGGACCAAGGCTAGATAGTACCCACAAAATATTTCCTCTGACTGTCCTGAATGAAAGAAGAAATGGCATTTAGCTTTAGCTGTTGTGGGTTGTTTTTTTCCCTCTCTTTTTGGTTTTTTTTTTTTGCCTGCCTCCACAAACACAGCTTGGCTGCTGAACTACACAGCAAATAAATGAGGTAGAGGCGGTGGGAACTTGTGGCCTTATTTAAACAAAGGCTAGATAGAGTTATCTGGATCGATTGAGCCAATGCTTCCTTGAGTACTAATTCAGGCCAAACAACTGCTACTGAGAATAAGCTCAGCTGACCTCCCTCGGATGTGACCAGGCAAGATGGAGACGTAAAGAGCAGCTTTTGACACGGGTGCCGACTGGGACAACTTTGCTTCCACGTGAATGCTATTTATGTAAGCAAAGAGTGGTCTCAGACTGTCTGAATTGTCTCATTACACCCCTACCTAGCAACTTAGCTTAAGATGAGCCCTGCTGGCTTGGAACAAGGGCCTCTATAATCCTTTTTCCTGAAAGTGGGCAGTGAAGTATGCTTAAAGTAAAGGGGTTATCCATCCCCACAACATGCTCTCAGCTTCCAGTAATCTGCCCTGAGTGGGCCTGCTTTCATTTAGCTCACATAACTTGGGAAGAGGTTTCAAAGTGAGCCAAATCCTCCCACGCACTACTATAGATCAGTGTATGTGACCATTCTGTTACACAATCACGCAATTATCTCTATCTGGTAATGATTCCCTGTGTGCCTGTGTGAGCTGGGGAATACACCCCATTAAGCCACACACTTTCTTAACTCTCTTTCAGTCATTAGTGCCACTTGGGACTAGGCTTGCCACTTCTGCTGACTATTTAGAGCTCTGGAGCCTGAGTCACTGCCTCTGATTCATTTAATATGCTGGAGTGACTATGGGTCTAATGGAGCAGTGGTGAATCAGGCCCTATGTATCTCAACTGGCAACAAATCAGTAACTCCCCATTCCCTGCTCCTTTCCCTCCTGAGACCTGTAGGAAATGCACAAAATGCTAACCTTCTGCCAACAGCTAAGCAGGTTCAAAGCATGGGTGACCAATCACATCCCAAGGAAAGAAAGCACAACTGGGGATAGGGGTGAAGCTTATTTCAAATGATGCTGTTTTGCAGAATCTTACATTTGTATCCCTGAGTCTGATCCTTAGCACAGTTACTGGTTCAAAGCAAAATTTACATCTTATCAACAGTGTTAAAAGGCACTAACTCATCTGCTAAACAGAGGGGAGGTACAGAGGCAGCAGGACCATGACTCTCCATAGGTCAGACTAGCTTCCCAGCACCTTGGCTTCCAAGACAATTGAGACTTGCAGCCTCAGTTTAGCCCATCTTTGACTGTGCTGTAAAAATCACCAGCAAAACAGTTCAATA